ACACACACACACACACACACACACACACACACACACACACACACACACACACACACACACACACACACACACATCAGTGCGTCTGCTTTAACTGAATGAAGGTGTTGGCAGATGACGGCTCTCCAGAGGAGGATTGAAGAAGACTTTAATTAAATTACAGTCAGGAAGGAGAAAGAACCTGAACTCTGAGTGTTCTGATAAAACCCAACAGTTCTCTGGTTTATCTTCACAATATTTACTCACTATTACAGATATTTAAAGTAAATTGTATTTATCCTACTTTTTAAATAATAATAGCAAAATACTTTACAAAAATGTAAAAAGCTAAATTAACAGTAAAAAACAATGAAAAGGTGGATTTCTTACTGTTGTCTCGCAGTAAACAAAGAACTGTAGAATTTTTGTCATTCATGCACTGGAAAAAGATATTGGTGTGTATTTTTTAAAGCTGTGCTTCTTAGGTTATTTGGGGAATCTTGTTGTTACATAAAAGCTTAAAGATGGTCTTATTCCTGCTCAACAATTTTTTTGACTAAACTGAAGAAAGACAAGCTGCGTTTTCACATTTCTGCCATGACAAATGATGGCAGCGGTGAGATTTCTTGTGTTGTTTCAGCAGCCAAACTGAGGCTGAAGTCTTTGGCCATAGCAGAAATCCTCCTGTCTGAGTGGAGAAGGCCTGAGCAGCAGGTGGTGACAGAGCCTTTACACACAAAGCTGTGTGCTGAGAYAACTGTTTTGTTGAGCAGATACTGTATGTTTAGACCCACTTCTGTTCTGGTACACACAGATTAAAGTCTKCATATACTGCATGTTTGGGTGAGTTTTGTGTGCTTTAGGTATGMACTGACATTTGATAAGTTCAGAAGAAACCTTAATCTGGAACACAACAGGTGCTTTTTCTTGTTTGTTTGTTTGGTTTTTTTGTCTGTTTGTTTGTTTGTTTTTGACTCACTTGTGGTCACTGTGTTTGGGTATTCCCTACCATGTGGGGACCATTTTTGGCATACATGCCTACTTGTGGGGGACCAACAGGTACTTATGGGGACCTCAACCTATTCCCCATGGGAGGAAATGCCGTTGGTGTTTCAGGGATTAGGTTTAGGGTCATGTATGTACCTGTGAGGTTAGATTTAGGGTAAGGGGTAATGGTTAGGCTGTAGAAATGACCAGTAAATTAATATAAGTCAATGCAAAGCCCCCATGAAGATAGAAGAACAAACGTGTGTGATTAAGTCAGAAAACAGGACAGCAGAACACAGAGCRAAGTCACATCAGTGTGTTAAAAAGKTAACGTTTTTTCTTTTCTTCTACAAGGAAGTTGACCAAAGTTTGGAGATAAATCAAATCTAACGACTGTTTAGTTTTAGAGCAATTATTCAGACTTTTTCAATGTCCTTCCCTGACTCACCCAATTTTTATTCATTCATTCATTCATTCATTCATTCATAGAAAACTCGTAGTTGCTTTCTCATGCACCTCCAACACAGAGAAGCTTTTCTCCCTCTGCCGACATATTCATGAGAACTGACTGGATGGCATTTCCAACAGTGAAATTATTGTGTAAGTCATGGACTGTACAGAGAATAGGCACATTTACCTCCCTGACATCACTCAGCCTTTACAAATACGCACACCAYAGTGACCAGAAACACACACGTGACTGCAGGGGAGGCAGACAACATCGTGTCCCGAGCCTGACATCTGAAACTCTCGTTAAACAACTCAATTGTCATGAAAAGGTCCGAGCAACTTTAATTTGAAATCTGTCCAGCAGGATCAATACAGGCCTGCTCTGGGCTACGATCTGACACAGATCTGCACAAACGAAATATCACATCTGCTTCCATTACCAGGTCCTGACATGAAGGTCTGAGGTCTGAAGAAAGGAAAGAGGAGAGCAAATACAACTTCATACAAGAGTTTAAATTAGGTTTTATCATGCATCAACTTTGGTTGTTTGCAAAGTAAAAAAAAAACATCAAAAATTGTGAAAAGATAAGCTTAAAGTGCATAATTGGATGCTTTATAATGTGCATAAACTTCTTTAGCACATCTGTGATGGCTGATCATCTTGGTGGCAGCTTGAGGGTCCTGGGTGGAGCGGGTTAGAATTTTGTGGCAGTGCATTTGTTTTTATCAACTTTTCTGTTCTGTAGCTTTTACGTCTTGTTGGTCAAAGTTTCCTGCAGCTGAATCATCTTCTATTGACCTGCTGGCTGCCTGATACCCACTGTGACATCACAAATAACTCCTTCCACTCTGGCAGTGGTACGTCTGTCAGGGGGGAATAAAAAGCCCCTTCAAATAGAGTTTTATAAATTATAATACTGTTTTTCAGTATGGAATACGCAAAATGATGGTTCTTTTAGGATATCTATGCAGATATTCTACAGTCCAAACACTCTCGAAAGGTTCTGTAAATTAGATTTTAAAGGTTTTTAGTAAAGAACTAAAGAGTTTTAATAGTGTGAATTCATTCGCAAACATTTTCACCATTGAAATATTTTTCTTTCATACAGTCTTGGTATACCAGGTCCATCCGGTAACCTCCCTCACCACCGGATCCAATCAGTTGTCAGCTCTGCCCCTCTTTTCACTTTAGTGTCCAAGACATAGGGCTGCAGGTCAGGTGACATGATTACAAAATCAATCATCGACCTTAGACCTAAGGTAGTCTGGTACCAGATACACTTATGGACCATATGCTCAACGATGGTGTTTGTTATGGACAAACTGAGCTTAGCACAGAAGTCCAATAACGCAACACCGTTCAGGTCTATATCAGGGAGGATGTACCTCACAATCACCCCCTTCCAGACAACTTTGTCATTGTCCGCATGGGCATTGACGTCTCTCAGGAGAACAAGGGAGTCTCCAGACAACACCTCTTCCAGGACACATTCCAAAGACTGCAAAAAGGCTGGGTAATCTGAACTAATGTTTGAGGCTTAAACACAAACAGTCAGAACCTTCCATCCTGCAGCACAAATCCACAGAGGGGCAACCCTCTCGTTCACCAGGGTGAACTTCAACACAGAGGCACACAGCTTGAGAGGATCCCCACACCCGCCGGTCGCCTCTCTTCCTGGACACCTCTGGAGTAGGAAAGTTTCCAGCCCTTCTCCAGGAGTTGGGTTCCAGAGCCCAAGCTGTGAATAGAAGTGAGCCCAACTATATCTAGCTGGTAACGCTCAACCTCACGCACAAGCTCCGGATTGGCACGGCCAGGGACCCTCTCTCTCCTTCTGCCAGGCATGCATCACACCCGACCCTGATGGTCCTCTTTGTGGGTTTATGGGGAGATGGYCTGCTGTTGTCATTTCAGGCTTGGCCCAGTTGAGCCCCAGGAGTCAAGGCTCAACCACCAGGCGTTCGCTAGTGAGACCCCCTGGTAAAGGGAAACTGGGGCACCTCCCTGGGGCCAGGCCTGGGAGGTGCCCTGGTTTTCTTTTTCTAGGCGAGGTTTCCTGATGTGGTTGATGTTCCATTTCATCAATGGTTTTGAAGCACTCTTAGTCTGACCCCTCCTTCAAGGCCTGTTTCCAATGGGAGAACCTACCAGGGGCTAATGTCCCAGGCAACATAGTCTCTGGGATCATGGGGGTACTCATACCCCTCCATCTCATAAAGGTGGTGATTCTGTGGAGGGAAGAGATGTTAAAACTTTTCAAAATGTTCATAAATCATTACTGTACTTTTTTGTTCTGATTCTGTKTTTTTTAACTTCTTTGGGCTATTTTAGCTTCCTTCAGCTTCTATTTAGCTGATTTTAGCATTTTTAGCTATCAGTCTGACCGTTTTTGCTAATCTCCAACTATACGTACCTTTTTGTGCTTCTTTCAGCATCTTTTTGCTATTTTCAACTTTGTATGCTTTTTTAGCTGCTTTCTGCTAATCTACCTTTTAGCTAATTTGAACTTTTTTCAGCTGAATTTTCCTAGTTGTGACAATTTCAGCTTCTTACTGCTTAGTTCAGCACACATGCTCTTTCTGTTTCTGTGTGCTAATTTTAGCTATATCAGGTACTTTTCAAAGCAATTTTAGGCTAGTTTCAGTTTTGTTAGCTATTCAGCAAAAAACTTTCAGCATTAAGCATTCATCCTGCATTTTTTTTGCAGAAAATGCAAGTTCTCTAGTTGTTTCATATTTTCCATGTTGAACAGACGTGACCATGTTGATAGTTCTGCAGATTTCTTTTTGAAGGGACATTTAGAAGTAAGTTTTTTTTAAGATTATATGAACCATGGATATTTTAACAGACACGGAATTTTACCTATATGTACATAAAAGTTATATTTTATTAAAGGTTTAAAAATAAAAGCATTATTCACTTTGATCTCAGCTCCTCTCATAGTTCTGAACAAACCCACATAAACACATACAAACAKGCAGCTGGGTTGGTTATAATGAGTTGTGACCTTTAGAAGGGTCATGGCACTAATACTGACAAATATTTCCATGTACACAACACGTAGATAATCTAATACACACATATAGTGTATAATATAATACACACATACAAAGTGTAGATTTTACACATGGGATTCCTGTTAGACCTTAGAGAAGAAACTTGTCCTGACACTAATGTTGTTGTCCCATGTTCCAGTGTGTCGCTGGTGTCCCCCCCACTCCACCCAACCCCCACGGTCCTCGTTTGGCCTCCTGCCTAGTGCTGACCACCCGATCGTCCCTCTACATGCATAGCTAGGCGGGTGGGTGTAAAAATAGCTGGGCACGGATGGAGCGGGGGATGGGGGGTGGGGTTGTTAGTCCATGGTCAGAGTTAGAATCAGCAGTGAGTAGCAGCTAGTGCTCTGCTGGGTACATGGTCAAAACTGGATCCCAGTCCAGTGAAGTCGAGCCCCGTGACAGGACAGAAGATCTACTGACTCCAGAGAGAGGATTGACAGAGTCTGAGGGGGTTCAACACCCCCACCCCTGGACAGTAGCTTGTTAGAGTTGTAGGGGTTGGCAGGGACAGGAAGAGGATTATCTGGGTGATTAAATGCAGGAAGTTTAGGTTCTGATGGGATAGACAACATGGGCAATGCAGCCATGTGTAAGGTGTGTGGATCAGACAAGGGCCTGAGGACTGTTGGGACAGAGTCCAACCAGGACAAGAATGCTTTGCCAGAATACTTCTGCGTGGAGCATTTTCCTGTGCCACCTCCGCTGATGCTGGTAAGATCTCCTGAAATCGGGATGTTGATGTCAGCTGAGCTATTTTTGATTTGGTCTTGATGTTGGGGTTCTTTGAACTTGGCACTGATGAGYTGCTCGGTCTGCATGCATCTGTCAGATTTTCATCCTTTAGTCTCCAGGATTTCACTGATTTAATTATCATAACAGAAAAATAAGCAGGTACTGTGGATGTTTTCACATGTGTGTGTAAAGGAGTAGGGTCCTTCCTCTCTCCTCTATCTTTAAAGACCACAGTGAACAACATGTGAACTCTGACTGCTAATATTAAAGCATCTAAAATCAACTGGTTTAGCTGCATGCTGCTAACTGCTAATGGTTAAATGCTAGTCAGCTGCTTAGTCTTAATGTTGGGCTTGTCCGGGACAGGCATTAAATGTCACTTAATGCTCTATTTTTGTTTAGTTTGCCTTATTTTGAACCAGTGATATAGATTCCTCTATGTTTAAGTAAAATCACCTTTAAAAAGAACCAAAATTCTTTACAAAGAAAATAAACTTCAATAAAACCAACATTTAAAATACACAAAAAAATCATTAATGCTTTTACAACAAAAACTAACAATTCTGCTGAATGTATTAGCCAATGAGAAAGAGTTTTCAGTATAGATTTAAACTGATTCATGGTTTAAGGAGATCTAGATGTTCACAGGTACACAGTACAGGTGGTGCAGGTGTACCCGTACATTAGGTTATTACTTTAGCTGTACCTGAAGGTAAGACAAGTATGGTACATGAATGTGCTCTAATACACAAAAATGTATTTCAGAAGGTAAAGCATACATAAAGTACTTTACCTGTAGCTGTCAAAGTACAGTTGAAGAGACAACCCTGCCTTCATTCACAGTAGCTTCCTGTAGTTTCATGTTCTCCTGTATGGGCTGATGATTTGAGTCTGGATCTGGAGCTCAGGAAAGGTTCAGCCTGAGAAGGTGCAGCTCCAACGTTTGAAACCGTACAGTTTCAAACTGGACCCTGAATGGACATAATGACATTGTTTTTTTTAACAAATGATTTTATTTGTTCACATTAAAGAACAATCCTAACAAAAACAAACAAACTTTAACCCTATATGACCACATAGGTAGAGGCAGAAGCCAATGGCTTGTTTTGCCTCACCTGACAATTCATAATGGAGTCCCCAAAATAAAATACTAAAAAAACACACATATGCTCCAACTACATCCTGATTATATGTACCATTTTATATACACAAAATAAAAATCATTAATACTGTTTTTATTAACAATATCATTATTATTGTCTGTACATGAAAAAAATATGTAATATATTACCACCACTGTCATCACAACAGACTACTACAAACCATAACTCATAATTAATTTTTTTACTTCTTTTTGAAACTTAACAGAGAGTTACTAATCTTAATTTTGTCACTTAAATTATTCCATAATTTTAACACCCAATAACAAATCTATATTTGGTATTTGTTCTTACTTTATGTACTTTTTACTCCGGCAGACCCAGGAACTGCTGAGATTAAATCTCTGCTGACTTATAATAAGAACTTAAAGTGGCTGTGACATGAAT